CTTACTTCGAGTTTGTTCTAAAAGCAAATTATGAGTATTATGTCCAAGGACAGATGTGACATTTGTAGAAATAGTTGTTTCTAAAATTTGTATAAATGTTTGCTTATAAAAATAAATATATATATTGAGGTCAAAAAACTTAGGTCTTGATCAACTTGAAATCTCTTTTATCTGTGCCAGCTGGGTTTTCCATGCTCTGTGTGGGAGCTATGATACAAAAGGAGGTGGGACCTTAATGTCCTTTTTCAGCTCTAAGGTATTTCTTCTTCCTTTTCTATTTGAAGTCGTCCTTGCTGCCCTTCGCCGGCCTCCCTTGGTCCAGCCAGGCAGCAGTCTCACTCTCCAGCACTGCCTCTGTGTGCACATTACTCCTGGCTTGGGGTGTAAGGTTGAGCCAAGATTGGAGACATACACCTGTAATCCCAACACTAGACCCTGAGACAGGAAGACACTGAGTTCAAAGCCAGTCTGGCCAGCATAGCAAGATCTTGTCTTTTTTTTTTTTAAGATTTGTTTATTTTATGTATGTGAGTACACTGTAGCTGTCTTCAGACACACCAGAAGAAGGCATCGTATCCCATTACAGATGGTTGTGAGCCACCATGTGGTTGCTGGGAATTGAACTCAGGACCTCTGGAAGAGCAGTCAGTGCTCTTAACCACTGAGCCGTCTCTCCAGCCCAAGATCTTGTCTTAGAAAACAAAACAGGTTTTCCGCCTTCAACTGATACTAGCCCTGAAATACTACAAGTATTTATACAATAATATACATGCAAGTAACATTTTATGGACTGAACAGGTTGTCTCTATTCGGGCCAACAATTAAAACAGGCCATGGGTTTGAGAAAACGGCCCAGGAATGATGAGATGTTGGAGGGGCAAGGGAAGGGAAGCCATGAGAGATTGCCCTCTGCATGCGGTGCTCTTTTGGAAGCTCATCTCTCCCTCTTGGTCAGAGCTGAGAATGAAGTACCTACTTAGCAAAATGAAGGTGAGATTTTACTGACTCGCACTGTGACCTAGAAACCAAATACTGGGTCTAACTCAGGAGAGTTGACAGCCGGTAATTCACTGGGAATGTTCCTCACTTTCTACATTGATGTAAAAATTAAAAGCAAGGGCTGGAGAGAGAACTGGCTCACAACCATCTTTAATGGGATCCAAGGCCCTCTTCTGCTGTGTCTGAAGTCAGTTACAGTGCACTCACATATATAAAATATTTTTTTAAGATAAAATTAAAAGCCAAAAAAAACCCATTAAGATAGAGGTCTCACTATGTAACTCTGGCTGACCTGGAATTCACTCTTGTAGACAAGTGTGACCTCAGGCTCACAGATCCACCTGCCTCCTGAGTTTGGGATTAAAGGTGTAGGCCACCACACCCATCAATAATGGATGACTCTTAGAGTGTTTTAGTAGGATGTTTGCGTGGCTTTCTGAGCTATCAGAAAGTTGTCACTGCTACCAAGTATGGTGCTGGCATTGGCTGTGATCTCAGTATTGACTCATAAGCCTAGATGGTTTCTAGTCGCCCCATAGACGGTCCCTTCACAAGCACTGTAATGCCAAGGCTGGTCTTCCCAGAGATGTTGCTCTGGGAGCTTTGGCCATGGCCTACCTATCTGAAGGAGGGAGCTAACCGTTATGTCAACTACCACAGCTCCAGAATGGTTGACATTTAAACTTACTCCAACAGTAAAAATGAAGACTTTCAGTTTAACATCTTTCCCTCCTAAGTTTTAAAAACTGGGCACATAATCCATCTCTGAAGAATTAATGATTTGTTTGTAAGTCAAGTAGCTAAGACTGTCTCCTGGTACCCAGTGTTGCATTCTTCTTGGGACCCTTGTTGGCCTAGCCATTAGTTCAGCATGAACTAGTTAGGACTGTGACTGACAGCAGCCACCCTTGTCCCTGAGGTGAGTGTGCTGTGTTCTGAGGGTGTGGGAGTCAATCAGGACCTGATTAGGACAAGCACACTTGCTGCAAACCCCTGGAAAGGGCCCTGGCAGCCTGTATGGAGCACAGAGAGAGGAGTTTTATTGTTTCGTTCTCTTGACTGGCTGCTGTGGGGACAGCCAGACTCAAAGATAAACTCATGCATCTCAGGCATCATGGCCCACATTCTGAGTGTTTCCAGGCTAACTGAGGTCCTGTAGCCCCTACCACTCACTCCCAGTCTGTCCTCAGAATGACATGATAGTCGTGTATAAAATACAATATATGCTGAAAAAAACATACAGTGTGTGTATACGTTGTATATATGTTTAGCATTATATGTGTATGATACAATGTGCGTATACTGTATAAAATATACATATATACACATATTGTATAAAATATACTTTTTGAGATACGGTCTCACTATGCAGCTCTGGCTGGCCTCAAACTCTCAGTCCCTCTGCCTCAGCCTCCCAAGTGCTAAAACTGAAAGTGTGCACACTAGTCCTGGCTAGAACAATTTTTTTAAGGCATGTGGAGCATGACATTCAATTCATATCCAAAATAAACACAAGTAACTGGTTGACCTGGAAGCCTTGGGCTTCTGTTTTGAAGCGAGCTGCAGTATTCCACCTTCTGTGTCATGTGGGGAACAGTGAGTACTTAGCACACATTTTGACTTCAGTTCTCCAAGGAGCTTTTCCAGTTTGCCCTCACCTGCTAAGACGACAGGTCCTTGTGTGGATCTGCACTTTGCCTTAATAAAAACAAGGTCTTCTTTGTGTCTGTTTTTTACTCGTAAGAACCAGCTTCTTAGGCTCAGCAGGTAAGCACTGCAAGCTGGGCAGCCTGAATTCAATCCCCAGAGTCTACATGAGTGGAGGGAGAGGACCAGCCCCACCAAGCTGTCCTGTGACACGTGTGTCCTCCTGTGAGGCTCTGTGGTTCCGGAGCTGCTGCAAGGGTTGGAAGGGTAGAGCCGACCTGTACTGCTGCCCACTGGGGAAGGGGAGACTGATTCTAACACAAGCCAATGCTACAACCGAGGGCTGGGGGATTGCAGTGTTGTCTGTTAGCTGTCCTGTTTGCTTCTGGGTAGATACTGCAAGGACTAACAGGATGTGAGTGGTGAAGGAGCAAAGGAGAGAGAGAAGAGATGTGGGTGTGTCGCCTTGGGGTGTTGAGCGCCCTGCACTTGGCATTTGGATTCCAGAGAAAAACTGTCGGGAAGGGAAAGGGTGCAGCTGAGGTTAAGAGTTCATCTGCCCTGCTCACCTGCCACTGTGCCAGGTGTGGGGCAGCAGGCGTCCTGTACTTCGAAGACACGTGCTCACTGTCATGCAAAGCTGAGAGATCTGCATAATAGGATAAGCAGGAGCTTCTGGGAGTCGGCTGGAGTCCGGGCACAGCCCAGCCCCCTCTGAGGTCCGGGGCTTCAGGACAATTCTCCCTACAGTCATGGCCCAAATATAAGCACTCCCCAAAGCTGAGTGTTCTATGACTCTGCTGCTTGCTTCTCTCTATTCCCTTGTCCTGGCACTGGGGATAGGCAAAGCCAACAGAGCCGATGGCGGTCAGGCAGTGCAGCCCGGGTTTAGGAAGAGCTGTGTGGAGCCTGGAGTCGCTTCATGGAGCCTCTGCTCCCTCTGCACCTGTCCCAGCTGCTAAATTCCACTCTAAATGGGAACTGCTATTTTGGGAGCGTCTAAGCCATCAGAAAAGTGAATGGCTCCATGGCGGCCTGGCTCCGATGCACCCCTCAAGGCATGTCGCCCGGTTGGTCACAGAACACTTTCCTTTAGGTTTTCTTATCCCTCTCCCTGCCCAAATTGAGACAGGCGCCAAGAGATGACCTCTACTCACCCCACCCCCCACCCCAGCTCCCATAAGTAGCTCCTTCTAGAAACCCAAAGGCAGAGCCCCATCTATCAGCGGTATAAATAGAACCCACACAGGCCTGGCAGGTGGTGGCCCCAAGGTGGATGGGAAGCAGCCGGGCTGACAGGCATCATCCTCTAAATATAAAGATCCTCTGCCTGGGAGGGGCCGCTCCTGGGCTCCAGCGTAAGGTCTTAGTGCTCCTTAGAAGGTACATCCGTCACCACCGCTCTCTGCCTCAGCCCACTCTAGGTTCCAACACTTCCAGGTGTGGCCCTTCTTTGAGACCCAGGGGAGGGAACCCCAGTGCCACCAAAAGAGTAGCATTTGCTCAGCCTAGCCAACTAGACAACGGTCAATTCCGAGTTTGGGATTCACACACACACACACACACACACACACACACACACACACACTGACCCTTCCATTCCCTTCAAGTGTACACTGTAGAATGCAGGGACAGCTCTAATACCCTGGCCTCACATGCTGTGTGCCAGGGCCACATAGTTCCCGTGCCTCCTCTACCTCCTCCCCTCTCTTCCACCAGTTGTCTGCCCAGTGACAGCTGCATGTCCTACACTGACTGACAGCATGTGGGGGGAGGGATGGGGGGGATGTGTGTCAGATCTCTGGATTGGGGAGCTTTGAAGTGGGAAAGAAAATAGAGTTCAAATATAGGGGTTATTTTCCATCCCTACCTGGAGCCCATGACCCCTCCCAGCTCACCTGACAACGGGTTCCCTCCCCTGGGCTTAAGCATCAGGGCTTGGTAGTCTGAGTTAAGAACCCAGAAATGGGGTGCACTGGGGCAGGTCAGAAATCATGTGCCCAGGTGGGCAGATCTGGGGAGACCTTTGAAACAGGTAAAACTTGGAAAGTGCAGACCAGCGATCTGCAAAACAGTGACCTTTGGCCTGGCCCAGCCCTTCACCGAGCCTTGGAGCCAGTTGGGAGGGGCGGACAGCTGGGGATACTCTCCATATACGGCCCGGTCCGGTCCTAGCTACCTGGGCCAGGGCCAGTCCTCTCCTTCTTTGGTCAGTGCAGGAGACCCGGGCGGGGACCCAGGCTGAGAACCAGCCGAAGGAAGGGACTCTAGTGCCCGACACCCAAATATGGCCTGGGAAGGGCAGCAACATTCCTTCGGGGTGGTGTGGAGAGAGCTCCCGGGACTATATAAAAACCTGAGCTGGGGACAGGCGGTCACACGGACAGTGAAGACTCACTTCCTACCCTCGGCACCCAGGGCCAGAGTCAGAGCAACAGGTAGGTGGAGACGGGGAGGGTAACCTGGAGACCCAGCAGAGAAAGCTGTTGAGCCTTGCACCTGTATTTAGCATTGAGCTCTGGAGATTTCTCCAAACTCACATCCAGCCCGTGTGGACTGCTGACTGGGCATTTAGGATATGCCTGAGGGTCTGACATCTATCCGTTACCATCCTCAGACTCCTCCCCTCTTACTGGGAACTGAATCCAAGTTCTGCAAGAGAGCCAGCCAGTGTTTGCCTACTGAGCCACACACCTGCGTCTGGTTGGCTGAGATTTCTCTCCCTGAATTACATTTTTCCTTCCTGCCTTTCATCCCCCCCTTTCCTTCCTTTTTCCCCTTTCTCTGCTGGGATCAATTCTGGGCTCTTGTGATGTGAGAGGCGGACCAGATCTCCCACAGAGCTACACCCCAGCCCCCCTGGGAGACTGCTTTGAAGATGAGTTTGGAGAGGATAGAGCATGGTTTTAGCCTGGGGGCAACTCCCTCTGAGCTCAAGGCTTTTCTAAAGGGCTGCAAGCCTGGCTACTCTTGTCTGAAATAGGAGACAGGTGGAAGGGTTCCTTCTGAGTTTGAAATGCTGTAGGTGTTTAAACTGGAAGCTTTTCCATAGTTGAGATTAAAAATTACCCTTCCCTGGGCAGAATCCTCTACCCTCGCACAGGACAGGCAGGTGAACAGCCATCCTTAATGGCTCCTTCAAAGATGAGACTGAGCAGACAGGATAGCACTAGTGCTAGCTGTGGAGTTTGGTGGCCAACAGTGAAGGCAGAGAGGGTCTCAGGATGTCCCCTGCATGCTAGTTGAAGGACTTAGTGTGGTCCACAGACTGCTTCCCATAGCGGAAGGCACAGCCTTCAGCTGGAAGAGCATCCTCTGGCCCTGCGCAAGGAAGGGAATGGGGGAAAGGAATTTCTGAATCTCCAAAGTGAAGATGGGTTAAGCAGAGCCTCATCCTAACCTGCATCGAATATACACAACGCTCAACACCTTGTCTTTGCAGAAACTAGACACCATGTGTGACGAAGACGAGACCACCGCTCTTGTGTGTGACAACGGCTCTGGCCTGGTGAAAGCTGGCTTTGCCGGGGATGATGCCCCCAGGGCTGTGTTCCCATCCATCGTGGGCCGACCCCGTCACCAGGTCAGGCTGCTGGCAGGGAAGGATAGGCTCTCTGAATACAGCCAATGTTCTCTCTGCCCCACCCCCCTGGCTGAAGTAACAAGTGTCTGATGTCTCCATCTTCAGGGTGTCATGGTAGGTATGGGTCAGAAGGACTCCTACGTGGGTGACGAGGCCCAGAGCAAGAGGGGTATCCTGACCCTGAAGTACCCCATTGAGCATGGTATCATCACCAACTGGGACGACATGGAGAAGATCTGGCACCACACCTTCTACAACGAGCTGCGTGTGGCCCCTGAGGAGCACCCAACCCTGCTCACCGAGGCCCCCTTGAACCCCAAAGCTAACCGGGAGAAGATGACTCAAATCATGTTTGAGACCTTCAACGTGCCTGCCATGTATGTGGCTATCCAGGCGGTGCTGTCCCTCTATGCCTCCGGCCGTACCACCGGTAAGTGCTCACATATGGCCCACTCTGGCCCAGGTAGCGTTGTCCCACCATTCCAGCCCAGCTTTTTAATCTTCTGCCCCAGATCCTGCACCATGCCTCTCCAATCCCTGATGACCCTCTGACCTAACCCAGTCCTGTGCGGCTGCCTCTGCTCTCTCTGCTGGTCCCCTCCTCTCACACACTGCCCCTTCCCTGCACAGGCATCGTGTTGGATTCTGGGGACGGTGTCACCCACAACGTGCCCATCTATGAGGGCTATGCCCTGCCACACGCCATCATGCGTCTGGACCTGGCCGGTCGCGACCTCACTGACTACCTGATGAAAATCCTCACTGAGCGTGGCTATTCCTTCGTGACCACAGGTGCGTGCTCCCAGTGCCCGCTGAGGGTGGGCCGGCAAAGGGTGACCACACGCCCCGGGCCTTGCCCTGAGGCCTCCCACTGCTTTTGCCCCTACAGCTGAACGTGAGATTGTGCGCGACATCAAAGAGAAGCTGTGCTATGTGGCCCTGGACTTTGAGAATGAGATGGCCACCGCTGCCTCTTCCTCCTCTCTGGAAAAAAGCTATGAGTTGCCAGACGGGCAGGTCATCACCATCGGCAACGAGCGTTTCCGTTGCCCGGAGACGCTCTTCCAGCCTTCCTTTATCGGTGAGCCGCCTGCTCCGCTGGTGTGCCGGGATCAGTTTTCCCTCGCCCCAAACCTCAGAATACGCGGTCTCCACCCGCCGGTGCCCTTAGTCTGACTCCGTGGTTGCTCACACACTGCCTCTCTCCCGGGCACCAGGTATGGAGTCTGCGGGGATCCATGAGACCACCTACAACAGCATCATGAAGTGCGACATCGACATCAGGAAGGACCTGTACGCCAACAACGTCATGTCAGGGGGCACCACCATGTACCCTGGTATCGCTGACCGCATGCAGAAGGAGATCACAGCTCTGGCTCCCAGCACCATGAAGATCAAGGTGGATGACGTGCCTGGTATGGGCGGAGACTGGGGGCGGGGGGAAGACGCAGGCACCTGACGCTCTTGTCTTGCAGATCATCGCCCCCCCTGAGCGCAAGTACTCAGTGTGGATCGGTGGCTCCATCCTGGCCTCGCTGTCCACCTTCCAGCAGATGTGGATCACCAAGCAGGAATACGACGAGGCTGGCCCCTCCATTGTGCACCGCAAATGCTTCTAGGCGCACCCGAGTCTGCGTACGCTCTCTCTCCTCAGGACGGCAATCGACCATCGTGCTGTGGTTGCAGGGTGGCCCCAATCTCTGCTGTGGCTCCACCGCTGCCACTGCAGCCGGCGCCTGTTTTTGACGTGTACATAAATTGACTCGTTTTACCTCATTTTGTTATTTTTCAAACAAAGCCCTGTGGAAGGAAATGGAAAACTTGAAACATTAAAGCCAGCCATTCTGTTTTGCTCCAATAAAGTGTGTGTTGTCTTTATTTACTGGGAGTAGGCAGCGGGGCAGGCGAAGGACCCCTTTCCACCTCTTACTGTTCATAGGGCTACGACTGGGTGAGCTCCTTCGGAAACGAAATTAGGAAGTTAGGTCTTCTCACACAAACCTCATAGGTTTTTTTCCTTCTGGATCATAGCCAGTCCTCTTATAGGGGATCTAAGTGGCTTGCCTGATCCCTGGATGCTTGGAAAAGCATCTTCCCCTTTAAGAGACGGCCACTGGTATTTGGCGGGCGCTGGCCGTGGTGCTGCCCGAAGCGTCTCTCGCCAGGGCTGGAAATTGGATCCTCTAGTTAACAAGTGTGTAATGAGAACAGTCACCATCTCTTCCTTTCTATCAAACGCTAATGGCGCGGAGAAGCGCTCTTCTTGCAGGGCTATGGAGATGCTACCAGGGAGGGAGGACAAAGAAGGATCTGGGCTACCTAGAAAGGAAGCAGCTTACAAAGTCCAAGGCTGGCAGCCGGGCTCATAGAAGAAGACATAAACACAAGAATTGGTCACCGCTTACCATCTTAAAAACCCAGCCCAGTGCCTTAAGCATGCTAGGACAACACGCAACCACCGAGCTACATCCCAGACACCATCAAATGTTTTAAAGCTACAAACCACGGCAGTTTGAAATCCTCCAAGGGGAGAACTACAAACACCTATTTTTAATCTATTTTTTAGACATGATCTCATATGTAGTAGAGGCTGGCCTTGAACTCTCAATCACCCTTCCTCTCCAGCCTCTCTATTGTTGGCATCTCACTAATATCACCTGATCCAACTTGCTGTTAAAAGTACCTTACTATTCTCAGTCAATATTTCCAAGGGCAGTCGTCTAAATGAAACAGATACCAACTGAAGAAAGGAAACAAGCCCACTTAGAAAGCATGTTTTTAGAAAGGCTTGGCTATGTAGTTGTTATCTGCCACAAAGCTGGGGGCTTATTCCCGATTCCTTTCCTATTGACAAGCTCCAGGAATTTCCAAGGCCCCCAGGGCACTGTTCAGAAGAGCTGGCTTCTAAATACAGCTTCAGACTTTATTACAGTGAGCACATGGTACCAGGCTTACTGAAAACCACACGTTCATTCTACTTAGCATGGAAGAAAGTTTAAGACGGACCAATTTGTAGCCATATATAGGAACTCGGGTTGTACTATTAATATTAAATACAAGTAGGGATGTCTGGCCTGCTGATAATGCTAGACACATCTGAACAAACCTCATCCACAGCCTGAATAATTTGCACAGCAAATAACCCAGGAAACCCATCACTATTTTCTAAGTTAGCTGCCCTATTGAACATGTTGGAGCCAGAGGTTTAAGTATGGGCACAGCAGGGCAATCAGCTAGCAACTCCAGATACTTTGAGCTGACAGAAGTTTGAACACGGGAATAGAATCTCTTCCCTGAGCACCAGTCAGAATCTAAAACTCAGTCTACCACCGAGAAGGGAACAAAAATTATGGGCTGTATAATTTCACTCAAGATGCGCCAAAGCCTAAAGTTTCTTTTCTTTTCTTGATATTTCTCTGAAAAGAATCGAGTGTCATATATTTTGTTAAGTGTTCCGAATCTTTTCACGCCCTTGGAGAAAGCTGTTGATATCTGACAGGCCGTTATAAATGAGGCCTGAAATTTCAGTGTAGCGTGGGAAAGATGAGTGGATCAGAGCAAAATAAAAACCTAGAACACTCGAACGTTCCTACCGGGCTGGGAGAGAGTCAACCATCCTCACTGTTAGCTCATCCCTACTGGAGCATTGAAAAGCTGCTTAGAGAATCAGCATACACGTCAGTCCCTAAATTTAGGGAATAAAGACGAGAGAAAAAAATGTTGTTCCCAGCACAGAAAATACACACACACACACACACACACACAGAGAGAGAGAGAGAGAGAGAGAGAGAGAGAGAGAGAGAGAGAGAGAGAACACACACTGTAAGCTGTGCGTTTCAGTGTGTACTCGGTTGACTGTTCTCTCCCCTTAGGGCTTTAGCTTAGCAGAGGAACAGCAGCAATATTAAGAAACCAACGTGTAGGAACCGTGGGCAAGACGGCAGGCCAGATGAGATGTGGTCAAAGCACAGCTCTGCATACTACAAAGGAATACTGAACAGCAATGAAAACAACGATAAAACCCAGCTCCCAAGTGTCACATCCCTTCATTGCTTCTGAAGTGCTGCTCAGCTCTTTTCTTGGAACCTGGGGGTTTTGCCCCAAACTCTGCTGTTCTCTGGTTTGTTGTTGTTGTTTTGCCAAAGATAGAGGATGACCTTGAACTTCTGATCTAGATGATCAGATCAGGTGATTAGGGATACAGGGGTGCTCTGGCATGCCTCGTTTATGGAGCGCCGTGTGTGTGTGTGTGTGTGTGTGTGTGTGTTAGAACCAGCGCTTTGCATATGTTATGCATGTACTCCACCAGCTGAGGTCCAACCCCAGCCCTGCTGCTGCGTTTCAAGCCGCTGTCCTGGACAAGTGAGGACCACAACAGCTGGAAGGCCAGGCCCGGAGGCCCTGCAGACTAAAGCTGACACATAACACGTCCACAGACCAACTGAGCCATGAGAAAATGACAAAATGAAGGGCAAAATGGACAAAGGAATTAGGTCAAAGTGACAAATCACCACAGAGCTTCTATGGGGAGCACAAGGGCTGGGTTTTGTGAGGGTTTTTTTTTTCTTTTCTGCTCTCCCCTCCCCCATTCTCCCATGTTCCCCCCCAACTTAATATTTCCTGCAGATGTATGTCATGTTAGTATTAAAATATTAAAATGAGGTGAAAAGCAAATAAGTAGGCAAAGAAAAAGGCCACACTCTCCCAGCTGTAAGAGTTCTAGTTCAGGGGCCGGGAGGATGTGTTAGTCAGGGTTCTCCAAAGGAGTAGACCAAGGGGAGGAATAGACCTACAAAGATTGTCTTGTGTCTTCTGTGAGGTTTCTCTGGGGACATACAAAGCCTCATAGCTTAACAGTGTGCACACAATACTAACTCATTACTTTATCTTGTGTATGTAGTTAGGAGTCGGCTCTCTTTACACGGATGACCCACACAGCACTGCTCTGTAAGCCGAACAGCTGGTGTCCTCTTAAAGCCAGCAGTAGATCGTCACAATAGGTCATGGCTGCTGGGCTTGGTGACTGTAAATGGTCCTTTGTAGTGGCTAGGGCATGTCACTGGATGTTCATCTGAGCAGCCAGCCTTTCCTCACAGCCGTGTGTAGTTCTGCCCTGATCAGATGTGTGACCTTATTGTTTTGGAGGAAAAACTGTAACAGTAAGTACATGGTTGGGAAAGACCAGGGAGATGGGGACCCCCTCTGCAGCTTCGGGGAGCCCTCACGTACAGGGCGAAAACGTCCGGTGTGACTGCTCTTGAGTATCCAACACTCCTGTCAAGAACCCCTCACCATGTAAGTAAGCTCAATAAACTCACTGGTCACCAGAGTGAACTCTGATGAAACCAATGTTTGGTTTGTCATTGGGACCTTATGAAGCGGGGACAGACATTGGTGAATTCTCCCTTCTTCCCAAAAAGAAAATTTTTGTAACAGATGGTAAATTTATTTGTTAATGTTATTACATTGTTGTGGGGGTATTCACCAGAGAGAATTGTTCTAACACGGGTTTAAGCCACTAGAAAGTGGTGTTTGGGATCCCTGAGTCTTTCTCAGGGCAAGTTTTTAAGCACAAAAACTGGGTTGTCATATCCCAGTTAACAAGAACAGTTAGATCGGGCAGTGGTGGCGTACACCTTTAATCCCAGCACTTGGGAGGCAGAGGCAGGTGGATTTCTGAGTTCGAGGCCAGCCTGGTCTACAGAGTGAGTTCCAGGACAGCAAGGGCTACACAGAGAAACCCTGTCTCAAAAAACAACAACAAAACAAAACACACACATACAAAAACAAACAAACAAACAAACAAACAAACAAAACAGTTAGCGAGAAGCAGAATTACAGAAGCCAAAAAGCAAGGATAGTCCATTTAGAGATGTTCCTGGAACTACAGAGAAGACATTTGCTTTAGTCTTGGCAGGTGGTGCTGTCTCTGTGCTAAGGTTTTGCAGCCTGAGTGGTCCTTCCTTCATGGAGTCAGTTGTGCTAAGGTCTCAGGGTCTGTTACAATGTCTCATGGCATTAAGAAAGGAGAATAAAGCTGGGTGGTGGTGGCGCATGCCTTTAGTCCCAGCACACAGGAGGCAGAGTCAGGTGGGTCTCTAAGTTCAAAGCCAGCCTGGTCTACAAAGCAAGTTCCAGGACAGCAAGGGCTACACAGTGAGACCCTGTCTCAAAAACAAACAAACAAACAAACAAACAAACAAACAAAAAACAAAAAAAATTGTGAAATTGTTTTAGTGAAGAAGGGTTTATATATGAAATTAAGATGACTGGGTGTTTCCAGAGTGATAAGGAAAACTAGAAAGTTTATGCAAGTTAAGAAGGTCTGAGTAGGGCTGGGGAGATGGCTCACTGATCAGGAACACTGACTGCTCTTCCTGAGTTCAATTCCCAGCAACCACATGGTGGCTCACAACCATCTGTAATGGGATCTGATGCCCTTTTCTGGTGTGTCTGAAGACAGCTATGGTGTACTCAAACAAATAAATAAATCTTTTTTTTTTAAGTCTGAGTAAATTATTTAGGGTATGCAAGAATTGAGAGAGAAGATGAATGTGGCAACAAGTTCATAAGATCAAAGTTTAATACATTTTTTTCCCCAAAACAAGGGTTGGTTATCACTGATCACTCTGAAACTTGCTCTATAGACCAGGCTGGACTTGAACTCAAAGATCCACTTGCCTCTGCCTTCTGAGTGCTGGGATTAAAGACATGTACCAAAGTTTAATATATTTGTGTTAAACCTCTGCTTAGTTGATAGATCCATTGATCTTGCTCCCCAAGGTCAGATAAATTCCAGGGGACTGTGGGTATATCTTGAAATGTTCTGTTCCCATGGGGAGTTACCTCTTCTCTTATTCAG